AAAATTCAATAGTCACTTAATGATGCATTTCATTAGCCTAAGATCAAAATTGGATACAGTTGAATCATTAAATCATAATAAGGCATGATTCAGATGATCAGAATTAATTAACCTGATTCAAGAATTCAGCTTATTGATCTAAGATGTAATGATGCATTTCACAGGTTTAAGATCCTGTAGGATCATTGAAATTGAAGTTATCTTTATTTCCTGATTTTCATTTCTGAGTCTTTCAGACAATTCACCATTTACTGACCCATATCTAATGGAATAATCAATCAATTCAATATCTAATAAAATATTTTGCTGATCCACAATCAAAAGATCTACTTAATTTATCTAAAGATGCGTTTTCGTAGTTTATAGTACAACAGTGCAATTGAACGTTTAAATGTTGTAATCGAGCAATTGATCCAATCAAGATCCAATGATATATTTCCCTGACTCGTAGACCAAACAACCGGTTGATTGATCTAAGGTTCGATAAACCTCTCACCGATTGAGTAAAGCAGTGGAAAAATCCAAAATCTAATGAACTGTTTCACCAATGTATTGATAGATCCAATGGTTTAGTTAACTAATCCTAGATTCCCAGATCCATTCAATTTTAAAGTTTATCAAACCATTTCATTGAAGATTCAGATGATGCGGATGATTAATCTAAGATTTAAATCTTAGCGCCTGATTCACCCAGTGTATTTAAGATTAATCATTTTCCTATGATCAGACGATTGCAAGTTGGTCAATCACAGCGCCTGATTCGTTCCAATGATCAAAATATATTTTCTTACAAAAATTTGAGGTAAATTATTTTAATTATATTAACGATAACGAAACAAGCACTTTTTAACTCCCGAAAACAAACCTTTCTACTCTGAAAAAAATTCAATTTTTACAGAATTAATTTAAATTAAAAAAATCAAGAATTTTTAAACATTTTAATTTAAATATAAATTTAAAAAACACCTTTAAGTCTTGTTTATACATCCGTATAAATTTTAATCAGGTATTTCTATCCGCAAAGATTTAATTTTCTTTTAATTCTGTTTTAAGAATTAATTGAAATTTATTTTTTTAATTTATCTTAAAACATTTTAATTTAATTTTTAATAAAAAAAAATAAACACTTTAAATATTTTATTTACCATTTTAAAGCACTTACACATTTTGAAACACCGTTTTTCTTGTAGTTTGGAGTATCTTTCTGAGTAATTGGAGCTTGAAAATTAGAATTTTCTAGCTCCAATTACTCAGGAAGATTTCCATTTACTTCTAACAATTTATCCATTTTCTATATTAATAATATATATATATATATCTCACGAGGAGTGTTATACACGTTAAATAGCAATAAGGTGTGGTTATTATACACGTGTGTATTGTCAATGACAGTGTTATATATAGTATACAGCCTTATATACACAGAATATGTTTATACGCATAGACATACAGACACACGCATTAAAAATGGCATCGCGTGCGAGTGTAATTTCTTTTTCTTTATACCACTGCAGTATCCGTTTCGGTAAATTTTAAATTTAAAATAAAATTCTGTAATATTTTTCTCATTTTGCTATTTAAAATTTAACTAAATTTCAATTTCTTTGTCTTTTATTTTATTTATTTTTTTTAATTTAAAGAGTGTCTTTTGAGTTTATGGATGTTTACGTGTAATTTAGAGTTTAATGATTTAGTTCTTAATATTTTTGTGTATTTCTAAGTATTTCACTGGTGATTTATATAAGGATTAAGTATTTTATTATATAATTATTTTTTGATTTTTGAGAAATTCAATTAGTGAGCATGATTAAAGTATGTTAAAGTTTTCTCATTTTTAGCTCGAATATTACGATTTTTTAGAATTTAATGGTTTTATAACTAACATAAATAATTTTTTGATTTATTTTTGCTAAAATTTATACAATTATTTGCGGGAATTTCAAGAAAATCTTCACGATTTTTCGCTACTCGCGAATGTGTCACACGAGGATTCGTTCTTTGTGTGTGTGATTGTGTGTATGTGGGAGAAACAAAAATAATGTAAGTTTTATTTCTCTTATGCTAAGAAAAATTACAGATTACGCGACAGAAAAGGAAAAATTGAATGTCCCATTCGATTGTTTTTCTGTGCTTCAGGAGTAGGTAAAGGGAGAAAGCAATATACAATGACAGAAATTGTATTGGATGGTCCATGACTTGGGAATATCCGAGAGATCGTATTTTTCGCAGATTGTGCTAAAACAATCGATCTGCAACATCTCAAGATGGTCCAGTAGAAAAATATATGGACTGTACAGTACCTCTTCTTTACGTTCGATAGTGCTCCAAAATAGACATAAAAATCTGAAAGTACAAACCGCAGAAGCCGAGCAGATGCGCAAGAAAAACAGAAAAACACTCCCTTTCCTCGAGTTAATTTGCATATTTACTGACTAATTTACACGAAAAACAATCGTTTTAACAGTTTATAATGTATATTTATTGATAAATTATTTAATTTTTCTGTAAAATTTGGCATTATTCCACGCATGTAAATGGTAATTGCAAGTTTTATTAATCTTCGATGTATCGTGGTATCGTGCATCAAGTGAACCGCAAGTTGTAGTGATTTATTATTATAATCAAGATAAAATTCATTATATTTAAATTCATACAAAATATTTACTTAGTTTATAAACTAATTCTAAGTTTAATACACGGGTAAGCTTCATTATGGATCTAGCACAACGGGAGTTCTTCAGATGTCAAGTAATCATCTTGTTGAATGGAATACTCCAATACATTCATCGATAAACTGAATAAAATTAATTTATTTTTAAGAAATTTTAAATTATTTACCGAATTATCCAAGAAAAGAACGTTTAAGCAAAGTAAAAATTAATATAAATCAATTTTCTCCACGCTTTGAAAGGAAGATTTGAGAAAAAAGGGCGCAAGGTCGTTCGCATATTAACGAATTTAAGTAGCTAAAAATAGAAAAAGTGAGGAAAGAAAATAAATTATAATTAAATTTAGCAATTTTTTTTAAATCGATAAGCAATGTTTGTTGTGATAAATATGCAAGAATTAATTACAGATTTATGCAAATTAATTCAAGATGGTTTCCATACGTTTGGGTTCTTGTAGCTAGTTTCGTGAATATATTAATGGTAGGTCACAGTTTAGTTGATGCCATCAGATCAGCCATGATTTAACGCTTTGTAGCAAATCACAATTTAGTTACAAAGAAGTGTAATGGGTGTTGTCTTCCATATCATTGCTAAAGTAGTTTCTAGCGTGATTTCCAGCAATCGTTGTGACTAGCGCAATCAAAATTATCCACTGATGTTTTTACTAAATTATCTATGAATTCTTAAATAATATTTTCTTTTTATTTAATTCTTAATTAAAATTCATATTATCTACTCATTTTTCATGGATTTTTGGATAATTTTGTACTAAAAAATTTGATTTATTATCTGCTACGACTTAACTGCAATTAATTAAATTTATATTTTTATGGATAAAAATGGCTACGCCCTTAGGAAATTTCTCTCTTTTTAAAAACAAAGAAAAAAATATTTTACTGTTAATAATAATAGTGTTTTTAAATGATTAAAACAGTATATACATTTATATAAATGAATTTATTATAATTTCCTACTTCTCCTCTGTGTTGAAGTAAGTTTCTTTTTATATTTTCTTAATACCTATTGATGGTAAAGGTTCTCATTCTTTTAACTATAGTTCATACAGTTGTTTCCATAGCAACCGATATGCAATTGTGAGAAAGGAACTTGTTGGGCAATTCTTGAAATGTCGATATTATGATCTGGCATCAATATTAACATCTTGGAATTGTTCGAAGTTTGATAGAAATGAATGATTCTCGTCTATACAAAGGAAATTTTAATAAAATTTCTTATGTATACGATTGATGTAAGAGTATTAATACACAAAAATGACATTTATATAGTGTAAGACGTATTGTTACACGTGTATGTCTGCTTTACGTGAACAACAATACGTCTTATATTTTTTTTGCCTCCTTCTATACTATAAACACTTGTATGTGTGTGCCAACACTCACTACACGTGTATTATTTAATATAATACATATAATAATAATGTAAACAATACACAATATAATAAGTGTTTTAAATGCAGATATTATTTATATTATGTGTATTAAGGCACACTTCAAAGTTACTTCACGTTTTAATCATCTTAATTTGGGCAAGTTGGCCGTTATGATAAGAATGCCCACGCTTGAAATTATAAATTAAAATATTTTAAATTAATGCTTTGACGTTTTTAACACAGAAGCAACGTTGGCTCTCCTACACAATAAAAAATTAATACACTTAATAAATTTAGGTAAATAGTATTAACAAAAGTAAAAAGATTTTATTCATATGTATACATTCTTACAGATGGTGTTTAATTCAATTAAATGTAAATGTAAACAATTCTAGCAGAATAAACTGACGTAGCAATTCTATAGAAGGATTAGAGTTGTTTTTTCAAGTTTTTATTTTTTTTATTTATTGAATCGGCATCTCTCCTATTTCCTTCAGAGATCAGCCATTAAATTTTGCGATAAATTTGATGTATTCGAAAGCAAATTTCACCAAAATTTTGCAAAAAAATTAGTATAGAGCAATACAAAATGATACTGGTAATGGTCGAGATCATATAAAAACAGTGTGGTGTTTAAAAATTAAGTAAAATTACCCAGGAAGGAACATTGTGAAAATATCAAACGACACGTAAATGCCAAAGAGGATACGGTTAATAATTTACGAAACAACACGAGTTCAATTAAACGAATTCGCTATCTCAACCAAAATAATCCAATTTTATCCATTATGACATCAAAGCGGCGATGATTTACTCGTCGCTATCTTTACAGTTGAATTAATGATAATATCATTATTAGTCGTATCTTATCATTATGATGAATAACTTTTACAGTTATTAACTTTCTGTTGTTAAATTTTTTGCTCTTGCTCTCTTTACAGATCGGAAATTTTTAGTTGCTAATGCACAGATCGAGAACTATCCAATTATTTATTGTAACGATGGTTTTTGTGAAATGGTGGGTTATACGAGAGGAGAACTTATGCAGAGATCTTGTATGTGCGAATTTCTACACGGCCCCCTTACGAGTACACAAGCTGTAGCTCACATCAGAGAAACTCTTGATGCCTTTCAGGAAAGACAACTAGAAATTCTCTATTACAAGAAGGACGGTAAGTAAATTTCTTGTAAGATTTTGACGTATTAATTCAAAAATTAATGAAAAACTCGCGTTAATTAATTAAAAACATAAATTTAAACACGCATGTTCGTGCTATTGGTGGATTTAAACGAAACGAATACGAAAAGAGGCGTTACCGAAATCTGATTGGTTTCTATCAAATGTAATGGATAAACATTATTGGTTTAAATCAATTTCTGGCTTAATCTGCATAATATATGTAATTAGGTGTTAGTGAGGCTGTGATTGGTTTATCCTAATGAATTTTAGTTTATGGGCGTTACAGAAAATGTACAGAAGATTAGCGTGAGCATGAAAACAGTTTTGTTTCTCTACATTATTTATAAGATAAATGATGCATTAAGCATTATACAAAGACGAATATTTCCATTTTGGCGATGAATTTAAAAATATTTTCCTGTCTTATTATCATAAGATATTTAAACAATTGCATAATATTTATACGTTTTTTTTTTATTTATTTGAACTTGTGGAATGGAATATATCTTAAATTGTTCATAGGTAGAAAAAAACATAAAAATATATAAAAATTTTGAATGGAAATTATACAAAACAACAGTCTAGAACTCATAAAATCCATTAAAATTATGGATACTCTGTATTTTCTCCCCAAAAAAAGTCAAGCAAGATTCATAGAGATGGTTGCATTGAAGTCCCTTGTGTAACTGTAATATGAGCAAGAAAAAAATAGGCATGGAAGATTAATAGCTGCTTGTCTAAGAATCTTCACAGCAAAATGATGATATTCTGTAAGAAAAAGAATTTATCAATCACTAAATCATGATATTATAGCGTTAGAATCAATAACAGATCTGTATAAGGCACAGTATCATTGCTTAAAGGTAGCCATAATTGTAATAATAAATAATACCGCAAGAATTTAAGTTATGCAGGATTCTGGATTAAATTAATTATAATAAATGTTTACTTACGTTAAGAATTTAACTAATATTTATGTAATTAATGTCTTATCGAATGTCAAAAATGAATATCTTAGTGATTTAAGAATGAAAATAAAATAGCCTAGTCCTATATAAAAAATAATGTGCAGTTTAAATGGTCGTAAAATCGATTTATTAATGTAATTTATTCAAATAAAATTTAAATAAAGGTATTTAATGATATTTATAGAGCCCTACTTGGATAGGTTCTGCTGTAAAGTCGTTTTTTAGTGTAGAAAAGAACCAGTGGCGCGTTATCCTATGGGCTAAAAGGGCAACAGCCAGGGGCCCCAAACCAATTTTTTTATAATAAAATATTTCCTCGAAGTAAAATATCTGAAGTAAACACTGTTCATGGGAGTCACCTAATTCAGATTTTCCTGGCCACATGAATATGCAACACAATTTTATGATTTTATTCGGGTTTAAGCTTAAATCAGGCTTAAATTTGTTAGGGCCGTTTTACATGAGTTAATATAATGTAAAAATCCTTATCGTACGATACTCAACATTGTATAAGGTTACAATTCCTAATACTGAATTTTAAACGTGTGACCTGCTATAAGTAAGAACGCCCTCCCTTCTCTATCACATAATGATGAATAATAAATTGTTTTGAGAAAAATGGAGCAAGGCCTCTCGTAGTCGGTTTTTCGGGCCTAAGACCGGGGCCCTGCACTTTCAAACTTTTAAGAAAATTTGATTAAAACAATTTTTTTGTAAGTATTTTGGGACCCACTAATAAATTTCTCCCGAGGCCCCGCATAACCTCCAGCTGGACCTGCTTGTCGCGTGAGGCCCTAAGCTGCGATTTGTTTAGCTTTATGTAACACTGCTCTGAGTGGAGACTAAATATTGACAAGCGTACCGTATGTCTGTGCATATATGAGGGGAGGTTCTCAGTGGCGCGTTTTCGTATGTGCAAAAACAACTGCCTGTGCCCCCATCAACAAGGGGCCCCAAACAAGGGGGAATGTTTTAAGGAAAATATTTTTTTATAAAAGATTGTTTTATAAGAAAATATTTTCCTTAAAACATTCGCCCGAAGAAATATGCCTGAAGTCAACACTGTACGAGGCCTCCTGATTCAAATTCGCCTGGGCCCCACGAAGATATAACGCGTCACCGGAGGTTTTAGGCAGATTGTGTGTAAAGAGGAATGAATAAATTTGAATTTATTCTCTTTAAAAATGTATGAACAATAATTTTAGAATGAATTGAACAGTTATAATAGATGAACATCTTGGAAAACTAACAGGAAATCGTTAAATATTATAAGATGCCATTGGATTTTGTATAAGTTTCCGCTAAGATCAAAGTTCAAAAAAAGAAAGCAATAAATAAGTCCTGAATACAAAATATTCAACAGTTATAATAAAATGACCATTATATAAATTTATTCATATGGACGAAAGCCAACATCTCACACTTCAAAATAAAATTTTATGTTAAAAAATTCGAATTTATAATATTGTGACATCGTCACAACGCCGCCGGGCTGCAATTTTTAATCATATTTCAATTTTAAAAAATCACGTGACTTCCGGACCAGACGGGAAGTTCGTTTATAGGGCCTCGACCTCTAAGCTTTACGTATCTGGTCTCGATTTTTATTTATTTAGACCTGCGATCAACTAAACTTCACGTATATGGTCTCGATTTTCGTATAAGTGATTCGGTTCTCGAGATTAATGAATGACGGACGGACGGACGACTGTGAAAATGTACAGGTCTTCAGTTTAAAAATTGCAGTCCAAAATTATGATCTTATCTCTTGGTTTATGAAAGAAAACAAAAGAAAAAAAACACAATATAAAAAATAATTAATGGAATTAATTCTAAGATTAATTACATTTAAAATAAATGAACTAATTGAAACATATTTAGTCTGTACATTAACTATCTTCTCCTTTCTTTAAATTGAATATTATTAAACTTCTGCTTAGATAATGTTACTATTGTTCTATTATTATAATTAAAAATATATTATTTTTGCTATTAAATGCAANTTGTTTTATTTTCTATAAAACTTATCTCTATCCTTCGAAATTAAGCATTTTGCCATTTTGTAATAATTAAAAATATAAGAAGTTTATTAAATAAAATCTCGGCGCCATGGCGCCACACACTATTTTAACATTTTTTTATGCCGGGAAAGTTATGCAACTCGTTGCTGGTTATTTTTAAAACAAATTCGATATTGTAAAACATGATTAGAGGGGGATTATTTGAGTCCCCCTTTGACATATCCTTAAATAATCAATAAATTATAATCGATAAAAATGCAGAAAATATTTTTAAAAGGAAGAAAATGGGAGAAAAAATGGATTCTAGCAATAAATTCTGAAGGAGATAGAGTATTATCGATTGTTCGTTTGATAGCTCGTTTCCTTACATAGAAATTTAAAAGTAACATCTATTTAAATCAAAGAAAAAAATAAAAATAGTCACCGAAAATATATAAAAATTGATCGGTTTCAATTTTGAATTTGAAATGAGTTGCGTCATCAAAACGTAAGAACAGAACCGATCGCTCATTGGTAATTCCTTTTTTAAAATTTAAATTTTCGAACTGTACTTTATTGTGATTGGTTATTTTTTTATAATTTAGATGGCGTAATTGACTGAATTGTAAATAAATCTTAATTAAATCGAATTTACATGAAAATATTATTATTTTAAATTTAATAACTAATTTAACGTCATTTTAATGTATATTTTTGAATTTGATTAATGCTTTTTTGCATTAAAAAAAAGGGCAAAAATTCAGATGAAGTTATCTTCAGAATACTTTGAATTATTGAATCAGATCACGAAATTCTCGATAAGTTTTGAGTATTTACACATCTAATCGAAGTAAGATTGGTAAAGATTCCCAAGTCGTGAGTCTATTTGTCAAAATGACATACTCCTGACGTAGATTAAAGAGTTAAACTCAATAAAATTTAAGCACTGGAGGGTTAAAAGAATTGAATAAATAGGTTTATTCTTGCTTATATTTTATTTAAAAATTAATAAATATATGGAAAAATTCGCACCATACGCTCTTTTTAATAAATATATCCACTTCACGGCGTAACTAGAGTTAATCGAGTTTAGGGAATATTGAACTAGTTTCCACTTAATAAAATTTTTGAATATATTTAAAACTCACGTGCCAAACTGAATTAAATTATGTAGTTAATAAAATTTTCATTTCTAAAATTAAAAAAAAAAGAAAACAAAGTGTATTTTATACAAGAGATTGGTTACATTAAAGGATAAAGCCAGATAATTTTATTTCTAGATTAATTTCTCTGCAACAGAGGAAAAGTATGGCGATCGCTCAAAAATTGGTCCTCAAATTTTAAAATTTTTGGACTCAGGAACCATGAAACGTCGAGATAGGCAAAAATATTGGGGAATTTTTTTTTGTGGGGGAGACACGATTTTGTTCACTCACTTTGAAGATTAATAACTCGTGTTCCTTTTGTCGAAAATTTCTGAAATTTTGCAGGGTGGTTTGCGTATTAAAAGGAAATATTTCTAGAAATTTTCAGGAAAATCGGATCATTGGTTCGGGAGATATGGCCCCCACCTCTGCAATATATAATATCTCGAACCAATCTGGTGGCTTAAAAGTAATGATAGTAAATATTAGAGATGAAAACAAATAATGCTAGAAAAGATCAGTAACAATATTGTAGTTAAAAAATATTTTACTTCATGAGACTTTCCACAATGATTTTTAATAATAATATACTAATTTATGCTACTGTTATATAATTTACAGCTATAATAATGCACATGTGATGAACAGATTAAATTTTAATCGTGTATAGAAAGTGAAGTCAAACGTATCACTTACATAATTATAATTGAAACAGAGAAGGCCTTTCAAGATAGTAATTTTATTCACAATTGACCTTAATTTATTTCTAAAGTTTTATAATTTATAATTAGTCCCGTTTAGGAAGTAAAAAAAAAAAATTCATCGGAAATGATTGAAATTGCGGATATTTAAAGTTCCGAAAGTAAAATAAAATAGAAAATGATATTTTCAAGAGGGGAAAAAAGGAAGAGAAAAGGAAAAATCATTACTCACCAGCAGCTGGATCACTTAGAGTCTAGCTAATGCAACTTAGTAACTAAATTTATACAAATAGCTTCAAATGTGAATTGGTCTTCTTTGGTCTTCAGACTTGAAAGTAGACTTGGCTTGAATTTTTTTTTAAAATAAAAAATTCATGATAAATTTAAATCTTACAAACGAATTTTTACAGAATTTATTTTTTTTTAAATGTACAATAATTATTATTAATCGCATCGAGTTTAGAAAATAATTATAATTAAAATAAAAGCGAAAATTTTTTCGTGTTTTCTTAATTACCTGCTGTATATTTGTATGTAATATAATATCCTTT